CCCCACCCAACTTACTCCCCCCTCTCACACCCAAAGCAGAATCAAAAACCACCAGCATGGCTTTTTTTACTAGAGAGAGGAGACTTCAAAAAGGAGAGAAAAAAAGAGGGCGTAAAAAGAGGAATTTGATATAAAACAGAGAAAGGGGAAGGGGAGGGGGGGAGAGGGGGAGGACAAAGTTGCTCTTGAGGGCAAGTCTTGTTCAAGACCAAGTTGACGATTACTACTACTTCTGCTGTAGCTGCTCTGACTGGCCTGCAACTACCTCATTAATGATAGTAACAGAAATACATCAGACATTTTTTATTTGTTGCCTGCTGCCTAAACATCTGTTTTTCATATGCGACTCTTCAGAAATCCACAGTCCTCCTTTGAAAACCTCATTTTGCTCAAGTCAAAGATGTTTTCCATTAGTTTTTAGACCAATCCCAAAGCCAAATGCACAAATCAATCTAAAATCCAAAGTTTACGCCCCTGAATGTTTCTACAGCAAGTCTCATATCTCCTTGGCCAGAATGTAAGAAAACGGCAGGGTCAGTGGGAGAACAGAAACCCTCTGAACGCACCATGAACCACTGTTTATGCAATAATAACAGCAGCAAATGAGGCTCCAAACCGAGCGCTGACAACCCCTTAGAAAAGGACAAACCATATGTGGCGTCAAGTAACGAACACTGACTGACACCGTCTAAATGGATAAAGAAAGCGGGCCAAACACAGAAAGTCCATCTTGGAGAAAACCCGGGCAGCGGTGACAGACAAAATACATCAGGCTCTGTCAACACGTTGAACCTGGTTCCTGCCAGAGAACATGACTCCTGAATCCACCTCCAAGACTTTGCCTCATTCAGCCTACTCCATTCAAATCCCCTGTACCACTTACCCCAGGGCGCCACAGTCAGAGGGCCCATTCAGAAAGCTACCCCGAGCCCCTTTTCTCAGTCTCTTCAACTCAGCTCATCACTGTTTAGAAAACAAAGCCCAGTGAAATGAGAGGCCCTCCTTATCAGCGCTTTGAGGCTTGGGGCACCATTTGCATGACAATCCGCTGTCTAAGGCCTGTGAGCTGATGACAGACAGATGAGAAGAGGAGTGGGGTAGGTGGTATGGGGGAGGAGAAGAAGAAAAAGAAAGGCAAGAAGAAGGTATAGCTAAGTTATCAACAGTCACTGTTAGCTTCCTGTTGCATTGCTGTGCACAAGTGGTCCCGCTGCCACTGAGCAAGTTGGTCCCATAAACACACTCAGTGGCTACAAACTACAAACACACAGCAACATTACACTAAAATACTCGAGCGTGATGGGATGAGCATTGCAGCATTCAGCACAGCCTCATTAGATGTGAAATATAACTGCACGAGACAGAAATAGCTGTGTAGCTGAAGGTGAATTCAACTAGGTCAATTACAGTGAATTCTAGGTCAAGTTAACCGAGCCAAGCAAACTCCCTTTAGTATCAAGAGATCCAACAGAAGAGAAAAGAAAGCCAGAACAAGGAGAAACACTAAAGAAATAATCAGAAGACTTCCTGGCAACACTGAGGCTGCCTGCTGTTCACTCAGCTGGAAAAAAGGAGTGTTTCTAATGTATGTGAGCAAACGCATGACTATGCAGCTCCTGTTTTGTGTTGCAACACACTCCTCCTAACTGAGCAGCATATGACATTCTGGCACTGTAACAAGTATTCTTTCACAATAGGCTTGCAGATTTTGAGTACGTGACCTGTTGGAGTGATTGAATCTTCAGTGCGACACTGCTCCAAAAGTTCCAGCCGTGGCATGTGAGAGCAAACGCTTAGACGTATTCTTTCTGGGCCCAGTGCACTCACAGTGCAATACATCTGTAGGATACGTGTAGGTGTGTATTTTTGTGCTTGTCCAGCATTCACGTGCAACTCCAGCCCGCGGCTCTGCTCTGTCTCTGTAGTGTATATTTCACTTGCAAATGCCCGGACTGTTTGTAACAGTGCACCACTGAATTCCAGTCCCCATTAAAACACCCCCTCCTCTATGTGTGCGACTCACTCTGTTGATGTTTTCCCTGTTAGTGCTAAACTGCATGCACGGGCATGCGTGGCCTTTGTCTCCACCTCTATTTTCACTAAAGATCCTGTAAAGTTGTACCTCTTGTCGAGACTTTGAGGCAGAGGGGGAGAGAGGGGCACACAGTAGGGTTCAATGTGAAAAGAGGGTTGGGGACTGGGCAGAGAGTAGTGGCAGAAGGACAGCAGATTGGGAGAGGATGGTGAACAGTGGGCTGGGAGAATTGCTGGCACACTAGGTGGGGCTTTCAAGGGTGCCTTTGGCCCTCTACACCATGGCAGAGGCTACAGCACCATAGGGTACGACTGACCGACCATCAGCACACGAATAGGTTTCTGTAAAGAAATGGGTTTCATGAAAGAGGAAAAGAAAGTAGTACCACACCCTTGTCAGTGGTGCCAGCACATAATACTCTCCTTCTCTGTTTTGTTTTGCCCATGTCTTCCTGCTATCACTCTTGAGGCTTCTGCTACAAGGTCCCACACAACAGACCTGCTTCCTTCCTCTTTTCAGTACCAGCGTTTCCGGAGGATCTTCGTCACTGGCTTTTGTAGCCACTTCTCAGTATCCCTTACTGCTACACCTCCATACATGTGCTCTCATTTCCCATTGCTATTCTGTTTCACCCATATATAACCCATATATATATACACAAGCACTCAAAATGGCACCGGCCTATAACCGAGAGAAACAAAGAAGTGGAGGAAAAAAACCACTGAGAAAAATGGGAGGAATTCCTGACTGTGTTGACAGGGGAGGGGGGACTTTCATTAAAGGTGATGAGCAGTAGCAACGCCTTTCAACAGCTGTCAGAAAGCTCATCACCTGGTCTCCCACAGACTGACACACTAACACGCCTGTAAAGAGGCATCACTATATAGGAAAAGAAGACGGCCAATCAGGAGATGGCTCGGGTTTGAGATTTGAAAATAGATATTAAGAAACACATTCCTGAAGGGAATTAAACCCATTCTCTGGGAACCAGAAGAAAGCAATGAGACAAACATCGATAAACATTTGTGACGCATGCATGCGATCTGACGCCAGACCAGCATGTTGAGTAAAAACATTTTCCCATTTGCTCATGGCTTCTGTCAGTACTAATGACAAAACTGTGGACTTTTGAAGAATGACACAATGTGACATGGCACACAAGCTGCTGCCGAGGCACATTTTAATCCTTTTCTTTTTTACCCCTTTTTCCTTTAAAAATGAAAAAAGCAGGAAAGGCAGCAGGTGGGACAAGAATGTATCCCCGGGGCATGTTTTAAAAAGTGGAATTACCCTTGGAGTCTGGTGGTGTTCTCAAAACACCTGGTCTTCTTTACAGCACCTCATAAAGGGCCTTTTGATATTTTCTTGATGGAGTCAGCAAGCAAACATTTGGCAGCGTGCACCCCCCTTTCCCTGCACCACACAGCCCTGTCAACAAACACACAAGCTGCTTTCAAACAGCCAAACTCGTCTGCTGAGCCGCCTGTCCCCAATGAACCCAGCAAATAAAGTTTCCTTCAAATGTCCTTGTACCAAACCAGTGCAAGACGGTATTAAGGAAAGGAAAAAATGAAGAAAATATAACGTCAATAAAAATATTTCAGACAGTCAGTGGCCTTTTATGACCAGCGCTGGAAAAACCAG